AAAAAAAATTCCACTTCCCTTTGGGAGTACAGGATCAGACTAACAACCTGTTTTATCTCCTTACAAAATTGCTTCCTTTCTGCATATTGGACACTGCTGAGGAGATTAGCTTCAAGCCATTCTTCAACATCTACATAAAAATTGTCATGACCAAGCTTTCCACCCTTCATTACTATAACGAAACACCAGAGGCAAGCTAACCTTACAAAGAGGTGTATTAGCTCATCAGTCTGGAGATTCTAAGGCAAGGTGCCAACAATGAATTACTTGAGTATGATGAGGAGCTCATGGTACCAATGTTACAAAGAATGGGACAAGCATAGGAAGAAGGAACAGATGGCATCTTGAAACAAGAAGCCAGGCTGAGACCAAGGCAGTGGGCCAAGGCTTTGCACGAACGTGCTTGAGGACACCAGCATTTCTTCTAAGGCAATGCTCACAATGACCCGAGGACCTCCTACCAGGCCCCACATCTCCAACAGCCCAGTATTTCCCATTTGGCCACTCGAGGAATCCAGTCTCCAGCATACAAACCGCTGAGGACAAAAATAAAAGCATGGCCCACCCACAGGACCTATTATCCCACTTTAAAGTCTTAGAAATATAATCTATCTCACCAGTGAGTGTTTAGGACAATGTACAACCCTGAGTGAGGATCCAAATCTTGCTGTTAAAAATAAATGTTGCAGGAAGATATATGCCAACGCTGGTATCACAACTGGAACACTGGTTTTTGAGTGCCAGTTACTCTGCTTCTGATCCAGCTCCCTACTAATGTGCCTGGCAAGGCAATGGAAAACAGCTCAACTAGACTTGGCTCCCTTCCTCCCACAGAAAAACCCACATGGAGTTCAGCCTAGCTACTGCAGCTATCTGAGGAGTGAACCAGTAGTTGGAAGATTTCTCTCCCACTCTTTCTCTTATTGTCCTCTGCTCTCTATTGATCTTTTAATGAAAAAATATATCTCAAATCTTAAATAAAAAGTAATAAGTGTTAGTCACTAGCAACAACAAAAAATACCTTTCAGAAAGGTGTGGATTGTGTTTTGACGGGAATGTTAGATAAATTTTCTGGTCTGTGTGTGGATATATTTGTGAATGTACATATACACATATATGCACACAATTGTTAAAGTAAGTGCGTAGCTCAAATATTCTGGTGTATCGTACATTCCTTTTAAAACAGTCCCCTGGTCCACTTCCACCCGCCTGCGGCAACCAGGGCTGGGCGAGGCCGAAGCCAGGAGCCTGGAACTCAATCTAGGTCCCCCATGTGTCCTCACCTGAGGTTTTCCTGAGGTTCCACTGTTTAGCATTTCATTGCTTGGCACTACAGTTTGCACGTTGTATAAAGTGATGGCAACAATGAAAAAAATATGGAAGACTCGTGTGTGTGTGTGTGTGTGTGTGTGTGTGTGTGTGTCTCCTGTCTTTTGGGAAGTGTCCAAAAGATTTGCTATCATCTGCTACCTCCCAAGGTAATTGGAATCTAACTCTCAAGAAGTTAGAATCAGAAGTGAACTCAGTGAATTACTATCCCGACACAGACACTTTATATGGGACTGTGGATGTCTCAAGTGCCACCCCTTCAAACAGCCACCCCTGTGGACTTCTGAGCAGGGCATTTATGAAATGCTTCCCAACTCATGTGTGTGCTATCTCAAAAGGAAACAGTGGGCCCACAGATTCATCTTCATTGTCAGAAATTAATTATCAACTAAAGATGGGGGGAAGAGGGAGAGAGAGGAAGAGAGAGAGAGAGGCTTTGCTGGTTTAGTAGGGCTATGGGAGATTTTGTCCTGCTTTTCTAAAACTGGATAATGAATTATGTTGCTTGCTTCTATAATCTGTTTAAGTTAAGCTCACATATTTGTGCACTTAATCATGTGTATTCATTCTTCTTCTGAAATTTCATCTAAAATAATTTAATGAATAGAGTCCCTGCCTTCCAGGGGGTTATAAACTCACAACTTCTACTGTTTGCTAAAATGAGTATAAGTACCAGAGACTGCTAATTAAAGCCTCATAAAATTTTCAGAACCCTCACTCCTCAAGTCAATAGCATATTACAATAAACAAAATTCAGACACATAAAACTAAAGCACATAATCTAAACACTGTAAAAAAATGAGTTTTCTACATATTTCCAATGTTGCCATCACTTTATATAACACACAAAATTGTACTGCCAAACAATGAAATGCTTAAAAATGGATGCTCAGAAAAAAACTGAACAGGACAAAGGATAAAAGCATACAAGCTCTACAAAATGAAGATAATGCTTTCAGCCATTTTTAGCTAAGTGTGTTGTTTTATTAATAACATCAGAATCCATTTATCACCCTTCAGAAAATATTTATTAACAATGCATTTTAATGCAACTGGTTAATAGTTAACTAGTAAGTAATAGAAACTGTAAGAAAATTGAGTTCTCAATCCAAAGCCAGAAGGCAGCAGCTTGCAGGGTCCCAAGGCTTTGCGGTACCCTCTAATGCTCTCCCAGGCCACAAGCAGGGAACTGGAAGGGAAGTGGAGCAGCCAGGATACAAACCAGAGTCCACATGGGATCCCAACTCAGGCAAGGGAAGGACTTTAGCCACTAAGTCACCGCACCAGGCCCCTATGTGAGGCTTCTTCTAAAAGTTCATGGGAAGATGAAAATTCAAAACACTTTTACAGTAGGCATTTCCCATGGATGTTCCGAAGATCCTTCCCATGATTTTGCACATGCATGTGAAACCTTGAATAGCACTTTTAAATGCTCCTTTTTAAATTCTATTTGTTTATTTAAGAGTCTGAGAGACAGGGCCCGGCGCGGTGGCGCAAGTGGTTAAAGGTCCTCGCCTTGCACCCCCGGGATCCCATATGGGCGCCGGTTCTAATCCCGGCAGCCCCGCTTCACTTCCAGCTCCCTGCTTGTGGCCTGGGAAAGCAGTCGAGGACGGCCCAAAGCTTTGGGAACCTGCACCCGCGTGGGAGACCCGGAAGAGGCTCCTGGCTTCGGACCGGCATAGTATCGGCCCGTTGCGCTCACTTGGGGAGTGAATCATCGGACGGAAGATCTTCCTCTCTGTCTCTCCTCTCTGTATATCCGCCTTTCCAATGAAAAAATAATAAAAATAAATCTTTAAAAAAAAAAAAAGAGTCTGAGAGACAGACATAATGAGAGGGTGTCCCAGTTGCTGATTCACTTCCTAAGTGCCCCCAGCAGCCAGGGCAAGATAGGGTCTATCCCAGGAGCTGAAACTGCAATTCAGGCCTTCCAAATGAGTGGCATGAACACAACCAACTAAAGTTATCACAGCTACTTCCCAGGGTCTGAATTAGCAGGAAACTGAAATGAGGAGCTGCAGGCAAGCAGAGCAGGCACTAAAAGGTGGGACATGGGTATCTTAACCAGCGTCCTAACCATTAAACCAAACGAATACCCCCTAAATGTTCTATAAGGTCAATATACCCAATACGAGATGCCATACTTAAAATAGTTAATTACTAAAATTTTCATAAAAGTCTACATCCTTTCTTGCTGATACAATAACATTTCATTTTTAAATATCACCCATAGTGTCCTATTAAAATATATAGTTATGCAGGCATGTTAACAATAAGCCACATTCCTGCAACATTTATTTATGATTGTGATACCATTTCAAGTATATTCCATCATGATGAAAGTGAAGAAATGTGTGCTAGTCCGACTATTGGGAGATGCTGTGGAATGATTTCAGGAAGACCTGAAGCCAGACGGAAAGGACCACTGCAAGGACATTGGTCTTGAAGTCTAATGGACTTTGATGGACTCTCACAGTCTGTGGGAAACTTAGCCATTTGCTTACAATGTTTTTATCTTTAAAATGGTAATGTTTGCTACTTTCAAAGCTTCCAAAATGACACAGGATGCAAGCCATGCAGTACCATGGGTACTCCGTCAAACCTGACAGGAAAGAACTAAGGCCAGCTAGAATGCCTAATGCACAGGTGTCTCTAGGAAGGTAAAGATAGGCATGATGCCCACAACTGCACAGTGAACTGTGGACAAAGTCAACAACAGTGGGTGGTGCTCCGGGTCGAAGACCAGGATGCCTGACCCTCCTGACACCATTCCTCTCTGTGATCCTGGGCAAGTCTCCATGTCTCACCACACCTCAGTCCCGCTTCTGGGGGTTGGTGGTGTTGTGATGACCTGCGGGATAAGCCGTAGAAAGCAGTGCTGACACCAGCCCTGCCTGAGCAGTGTCAAATCTTCAGAAATGTCTCCTATAATTAATGTGTAATTTGCCACTTTACAAAACAAGTCCTAATCCTGACCACTCAATGTGGAATGAAATTAGTCTAAAGCATTTTATGAACTGTCATAACCACAAATAAGAATAAAACTTTGGGTCCCAGCACATGGTAGCCTAGTGGCTGAAGTCCTCATCTTAAATGCACCAGGATCCCATATGGCTGCCAGTTCTAATCCCCACAGCTTCACTTCCCATCCAGCTCCTTGCTTGTGGCCCAGTAAAATAGTCAAGGACAGCCCAAGGCCTGGGGACCCTGCACCCACATGGGTGTGGGTTGGAAGAATTAGTACTGTTAAAATGCAGACACTACCAAAAGCAAATTATAGATTCAATGCAATCTCCATTAAATTTTTAATGACATTCTTCAAGAACGTAGAAAAAACACTCCAAAGATGGAAGTACCAAAGCCACCAAATATGGCCCGTCACAGTGGCCTAGCAGCTGAAGTCCTTGCCTCAACACACCTGGATCCCATATGGGTGCCAGTTCTAATCCCAGCAGCTCTACTTCCCATCCAGCTCCCTGCTTGTGGCCTGGGAAGGCAGTCAGGGAACAACCCAAAGCCTTGGGACCCTGCACCCATGTGGGAGACCTGGAGGAGGTTCCTGGCTCCTGGCTTCAGACCAGCATAGTAGACTAGCCATTGCGGTCACTTGGGGAGTGAATCATCAGATGGAAAATCTTCCTCTCTGTATACCTTACTTTCCAATAAAAATAAAATAAATCTTGAAAAAAAAAAAAAAGCCACCAAATAGTCAAAGCAACCTTAAACAAGTAAACCATGCTGAAAGCATGACAACACCAGGTATCAAGTTGCACTAGAGCTCTATTATAACCCAAACAGCCTGGTACTGGCGTACAAACCCACATGCAGGCTAATGGAGCCAAACAAAACACACCAGAAACAAATCCACGCATCTACAACGCAACCGATCTTGGGCAAATGTGCTAAATACACTCACTGGAGAACAGGTAAGTCTCTTCAAAATGGTGTTGGACAAATCAGATTATCACATTCAGAAGTTTACATACCTTACATCCTACACAAAAATCAAACCAAATCAAACTTGGGCCCAGTGCGGTAGCGCAGTGGTTAAGGTCCTCGCCTTGCACACCCGGGATCCCATATGGGCGCCGGTTCTATCCCAGCAGCCCCGCTTCCCTTCCAGCTCCCTGCCTGTGGCCCGGGAAAGCAGTTGAGGACGGCCCAAAGCCTTGGGACCCTGTACCTGCGTGGGAGACCCAGAAGAGGCTCCTGGCTTCGGATCGGCATAGCATCTACCGTTGTGCTCACTTGGGGAGTGAATCATCGGATGGAAGATCTTCCTCTCTGTATATCCGCCTTTCCAATAAAAATAATAAATCTTTTTTAAAAAAAAAAAAAGCAAATGAAAACCAGTGAGGTTACCACCTCACTGCAGTCAAAATAGCTTTGACTCTTGTGGGCACGTAGGGAGTGAGCCAGGGAATGGAAGGGCTCTCACTTTCTGTTTCTTTTTTTGCTCTTTCAAAAAAACATAGTCTTGATAATTTATACATAATAAGTATTGCATAAAGTATTTAACAAGAATTAGTAAAGCACAAGAATGCTCTGATAAATTTTTCCTTTTAAAAAAGATGTAGCTGTTTTTATCAGAAAGACACAGAAAGATCTTCCATCTGTGGGTCCATTCCGCAAATGGCCACAAGGGCCTGAGCTGAGCTAATTAATCCAAAGCCAGGAGCCAGGAGCCACCCGGGATCTCCCATGGCAGTGCACAGCCCTAAGGCCTCAGGCCATCCTCTACTGCATTCCCAGGCCATAAGAAGGAAGCTGGATAGGAAGTGGAGTAGCTGGAACACGAACTAGCACTCATATGGAATCCTGGCGTCTGCAAGACAAGGTTCTAGCCATCTAGCCATTCTGTCTGGCCCAGTAAATCCTTCAAATCACAATTTCATTCCTGTGTTGAGGCTTGAAGCACACTTCTGTGATATGTATGGAACAATCCTAATAAACCTGGGTAAAGAGAAAACATTTTGGGAAACAGGGAGAGGTTCTTACAGCCTCAACATAAGAAAGATGGTTAGAAGGCAGGTTCTCTCCGGAGGTTCACGGTAGGAAGACTGACTACTAAACAACAACATTGCAGTATAACGCACACAGTAGCAGAATCATTTTTTAAAGTCACACTGACACTCCTATTGCCTGCAATTATTTGTCTTGATAAACTGATTTAATAACCATCATGGAGGAACACAGCAAGTTAAGCTACCACCTGTGGTGCCAGCATCCCCTAACGGTGCCAGTTTGAGTTCTGGCTGCTCCACTTCTGATCTAACTCCCTGCTAAGCTAATGGCCAGGGAAGGTAGCAGGGGAGAGCTCAAGGCCTTGGTCCATGCACCTGCATGGGAGATCTGGAAGAAGCTTCAGGGTCTTGATTTCAGATGCGACCAGCTCTAGCCAAGGCAGCCTGTGTCTCCTTCTCTGTCTCTAAGTCTGTCTTTCAAAAAAGAACAAAAATTTAAAAAGCAATCAAGAAAAGGTTATACTGGACATTTACAACCATATATATAAATCTTAAACTATATCTCTATAATATAAGTTATTACATCTTAAAATTTAGAAATTTTTTGTTACATTCTCTAACCACTTTTAGAGTTCTTAAGCTAACACACAGAAGTTATTTTGTTTGCTTTTTTTTTAACCCCCAAATTTTCATTTACTATTCTACTTGAGAAAGAGGGGACAGATCTCTCATGTGCTGGCACTCAGATACAGATGGCATGCAGGTGTCCTAAGTAATGACTACAGTATCGTGGCATCATGCCAAGATTTCTCATATAGGGCCTGCAGGTGTAGGGAACGTATGCGTGTGTGTGTGAAAATTCCAATGGGAACTAGCTAACTCATCTTGACATATCCACGCATGTGCTAGTTATCCAGCACAAAGATACTGAGGACTCAACAAAACTTCATTTAAAAAACAGATTCCATTAAAAAAAAAATGAACAGTAAATGAAGCCACAGTCATTCATGTTGTCTTGTAATTTAAATTTTTAAACTCTGGATAACCTTTAACAGCTAACTAACCAGCAGGCATTTTTTTATTTTGTTTTTTTCTCTCTCACATTTTTATTTTTTAGGACTCAGGCAATTCCTTTAGAATCACCCAGCAAGCAAACAGCTGGGAATAAAGTTACTTGTGTAATTACTGGGTCTTACTTATTTCAGAATGTTAACAGAATTCTCTTCAACTTTTTGTTCTAGCACGTCTCCAAGACAAGCAAACCATGGTACTGAGAATTTCACAGCAGATTTCATCCAGAAACCTTTTAAAGTGAGAAAAGCTGGAACTTTGAAGCAAATGGAGGAATATAGCCTTTATACACACCCGGAGAGCACAAGGTTGTAAGAAATGCACACCCACGAACAGGAGACACACAGAACTTGGGACAGTGAGGCTTGCAACATGGCAGGGGCACAGGGCATCTTTATTATCTCCCTAGATTCCCTCCCCGTGGCCATCCGTATTTTTAATTAAGAGGGGAAGAGATCTTTCTTTTTTAAAAAGCAGTGTACTGCACAGAGAAGACCTGTCAGTCATTCTTGACGGCGGGGATTGCACTCACTGGGAACACACTTCTGTGGGCAATACACTGCGTGGATGTCCACCCAAGCGATTCCGGAACTCTCCTCTGGGTGAAACACTCAAACAGTGACAGCAGCACAGGGGCTGAGGCTTTAGTCAGAATTGTTTTGACCTTAACTTGGGAAGACAGGAAGTCTGTAAGCCACCCGCTGAGTGACTGCATGTCTTGGATCCAGCAAAGCAAACCGCATTGCTCTGGGGCTGGCGTGACCTGCTGACGGCCAGCACGCTTCCACGAGCGTCAGTGCCATGCAGCCTCGTGCTCTGCCAGGTGAGGACCGCAGCTTCAGGGGCTCCTTTCACGGGGAAGCTCCTTCCTTAGCCTGGTTCTCACCACCACTTCCTTCCACCTCTACAACTGCACACCACTGGCTGTTTGCAGAAATCCCTCTTCTTCATTGTAAGAGAAGGCCACCAGACACAAAACTGCACGACAAGCTCTGCTGTTCCTTCTAAGAACACACAATCACATACATAAGTACACTTAGCACACTCCACGTGCATGCATGCATCCCCACACACTTAGAACGCATCTATCTCATACTTCACACACATTACACCTAGCACACACAACCTCCATATATATCACACTTCACATTTAGGCAGGGTCTTCAAAGCAACCACAGAAAAATCTTACTATGAAGAAACTGCATGGAATTTGAAAAAGCCCAAAAAAAGAATTTGTTCCAATATATCCTTAAATCCCAACTTTCCATGAACTCCTAGAATGCTGCACTTCCCACAAGCCCATGTGTACACACAGTACAGATCACAGTCTCCACACACAGCATAAACACCGTATATTATGAACACCATAACATACAACAGCACTGCAAAACACTGGTGGAAAAATAGAATTTTTAAGGTAAGTTAGAGCTCGGTATGTTGGCCTAATGGCTAAACCCTCGCCTTGTATCCACTGGTATTATCCTATATTGGTGCTGGTTTGTGTCCCAGCTTCTCTACTTCCCTTTCAGCTCCCTGCTGTATATCTTTCCTCCTCTTTGTATATCTGACTTTCTAATAAAAAGAATCTTTAAGAGAGAGAAGGGAAGTGGAGGGCCAGAATACAAACCAGCGTCCATATGGGATCCTGGCACGTGCAAGGCAAGGACTTTAACCACTAGGCTACCGCGCCAGGGATCCATGCATTACTTTTCGTAACACATCGTTCCCGTGAACTGTGTGAAGAATTCCCCTCATACACACACATCATATATTCACACCACACACGTGCTCATACGCACAATTCTACACCCTCTGCTCAGGAACATGTCAGAATACTCAATCTGTCAGGTGGACCGAGCAGCACAAACGCTCTTTAATAGCAGATTCTGATAAACCAGCTGAGGAGAAACTCCAAACATATTACAACTTCATTTTTCCAATATCTTAAATTTGAAACAACCACTACTGCCCAGACAACAAAACCGACACCGCTACTCATTAAGAAAATACCGAATGATCAAGTTGGTTACATTTTGTCCTTTCCTTGTCTTCCAGGAAAACCTATTATTGCTGTGCCTATTCAAGAAACAAAGACTTTAAATAGGTCTAAAATAGTCTCATAAAGGATATCTTCTGCCCTAAAAGCTGACACCACAGGCAGGAGCTATAAATTCATTAATTTGCCAAATACACTGAATATACATAATACTAGCTCTGCTTAACATTGGCATGGAAAGGGGAGATGAGGGAATGAAACATTGACTTAAATGCTTTATTTATGGTGCATTATCCATCAAGTGATTTAAAACCATTACCTCCAAAACATTTTTACAATTCCCATCTGACCCGTGGGATTGTTTTGTTTAAAGATTTCCTTATCTGAAAGGCAGACTTACTGAGGTTCAGTCTCCAGATGGCTGCCATGACAGAAGCCAGGAAGCGGAGGGCTTCATTTGGGTCTCCTTATCAGAGACACAAGCATTCAGGCCCTGATCACTGTATCTGCCAGGCATATTGGCAGGGAGCTGGATCAAACGTGGAGCAGGCTGCATACGTTTCAGCACCTTATAGGATGCTGGCATTGCAGGAGACAGCTTTACCTACTAGACCACAGCAACAGCCTCTTTCTTTTAACTAACCCAACCATTAGATTCTTAGGTTGCTGGTTTTAAAATAATAAGTACAGATAAAAACCTGAATCACTTAGCACTTTCCTGGAGCCAAGTGTCTGTAATACACCCCACCTTAGGCTACACACTCATCAACCCGGCTTTTGAACAACACTGCCACTACAGGAGGTTGCTGTGTAACTTACGCCTACCACCCTCACCAGCTCCCCAGGCCCTGCCGCTGAGCCCTCTGTGCTGCAGGCTCCCAGGAACAAACAAAAACACCCAAAGTGACTTCAAGGCTCTCTCACATGTCTCTGTTCTACTTGTCCTTAATCCACAACAGAAGCTTTGGGAAAGAACCAGTGTGGGAGAACTACTGTGACTCGCGACCCCAACAGCACGGGGTGGGTTGATACAAGTAAAAGGTTAACCTAGAAAACAATAAAGAACGTGAATCCAGGGTGAGCACTCAGCACAGCACTTCAGTTGAGTGACTGGCTCCACTTCTGATCTAGCTTCTCCCCAGTGTGCCCAGGAGGCAGCAGCAGACAGATGGCTCACCCAGGTCCCTGCCACCCAAATGGGACACCTGGTTTGATTTCTGATTCCTGGCTTTAGCCTGGCCCAGGCCTGGCTGTTGTGGGCTTCGGGAGAGTGAACTAACAGATGGAAGATGTCTCTCTTGCACTCTCTCTCTCTCATCCTCTTTTTCTGTGTCTGCC